ATATATATGGGACGCATGGTGCTAGCTCGATTCCGCTCCGGGGCAACCAAGCTTCTCATCCCTTCGGAGTCGGGAAATTGGTTCCAAACTTGTCTGGGAAAAAAGCACTCCCTGCAATTCTGGGAACGCACCAACCCAACTATTTCAGGAATCCAGAGAGAATTACTCGACCAGCATTCTACGACATTTAAGATGAAATAAAAATCCTCAAACAGCAAGCCTTCGGTTTGACACACGTAAAAACTTGGAAAACTTTCGTGGATGGTGGATGAGAGGAAACGAATTGAATATGAGAAGTACTGGAATCCGTCCGCACAGTGGACGTGAAGACGGATCAAATAAAATAAAAAAAAGTAAAAATATGTGTATATATTCACACCATTGTTATTCGGCGAATGTTCTATAGACTTAATAAAAGCTTAGTTTTTGAACATAACCAAATATTGGCCTGTTTGAAATAACTTAGCGTTTTCTCAATCTTAACTCTTATTTACTGCCTTTTTCTTCTTAATGACAGGTTATGTTGCGAAATATAACTCGTATGAAATGCTGAGATATTTGCAAAACTCCGGACCACAGGTGTATGCAGTGGAGAACGAACACGCGCTGTTGTCCTTACCGGGGAGCAGCGCACTTCACCACTACACCATCCGGGTTAGCGTTTTCTCTTTAATATTTTTAAAGAGGTAGAGGACCCCTTCCATATGTGGTTCAAATGAGTAGAAAAATGTGAAGAAATGAAGGAAAAAATGAATAGGAGGTGCGAATCCGCTAGTATCGGAGTTGATGAAGTGCATTTATGTCAGATTAATTTTGTTATTTGAGTCGTTGATGAACCACATACTGGCCGTACTTCTTAAAAATATAAAGAGAACGGTAAGTCATACTATATAGGTAAATATTTGAGTTGATTTACAAATTAGGCTTTTACTAAGACTAATGAACATTCGAGTGGGTGGCGGAGTGAGTAATGATGCAGTCTATCAAGAATAAAGGTGCTCGTTCATCTCATACTCAACGTTCTCCTCTACTCCGAGTGTAACAGCCTTGGCGCGGCTATCGCCAAGACTGCAAGGAGAAATGACTCGACCATCATTCTACGGCATTTTTAAAGAAGACGAAATCCCCAAGCTGCAGCCGAAACAATAGGCGAAATTTGTTTATATTGTTAAGCTTACACGAGGTTGATAGAGGTGTTTATTCGGCTAACGTTTCGACATTTTCGTCTTCATTAGAGCCGACGATCCTTGCTGATGGTGCACAGTTGAGGATCGTCAGCTCTGATGAAAATGAAAATGTCGAAACGTTAGCCGAATAAACATCTCTATCAACTTCGTGTAAGCTTAACAATATAAAAAAGTGTTGATTATTATAGGATCGAGGTTAAGTGATGGTCGGTTTCAAAAAAGTAGGCGAAATGTTCAACGAGCATTGTAGACGATGGATGCGAGGAAGACGAATCGAATGCATGAATTGCTGGAAACCGCAGAGTAGATGTGGAAGACTGGTCATGCGAAACAAAGGAACCGAGTAAAGAAAATGCTACTAAATAATACGTCTAGACTCTGAAGAAAGTGAAGTCACTAAAACATCAGCCATTGTATTTCAAAAATAGATGACAACAACCTTGTATGAGCTCAGAAAAGAAGAGTTCTGTGTAAATTGTTTCGAGCTACAAATACGTCTGCTTGGCGCAAGCCGTAATCACGCATGCCCATCTTTTGGAATGTCATACCAAAATGCTCTTGTAGCCTGCGGTTCTTTCAGTTTATTTGTCGTCAATTCGTCTTATCTCATAACTGACGCATCAATGTTTTCATACTTACTTGACACTTGAATGAACCGTCCTCACTGGTTGTGTGGGCCTCAGCATAACTTCCACCTCTCGGAGACCTTCTGGTTAAGCCATTTTGTTTCCCTGGAATTCCGAGGTCATCCTGGCCCAAGTCTGCCCAGGTCTTCACCACCACAGGCAGTCGCAGCCCTTATGGATCAAAAGGAAATTTGCCACCATGCGACTTTGATACGAGGACGGTGATAGATTTTGGTATTGGTTTATTCTTAGCTAGGCTTGCTGATGGAAACGCTGGACTCCTCAGCCTGGGAGACCCTGCAGAGGATGAATCTCCCCGGTGTACATTGCAGTCCGACACCCAAGAACACCTGCCAGCCACGATGAGGCGGTAAACCGTTGGGAGGATCAATGTTTCAACTTTGATGTATTGAGCACTCTATTTCCATGGCACGGTATTATGTGAAATACAACCACAAAAATGCTGGGATGTGAGCCATACTCGGAACCTCAGATGACATGCGAACTCGCGATTACCGTTTCCAGGGCTCACGAGTTACCCACTGCACCAACCAGGGTCTTTGCTTGTCTTTCTCTTAGCGAGTTTTTTACCCTAACGATGGAATCAGCAATCTCACCCATCAACGGGAACGTTCTTGGGAGCATAAATTGCATTCTCAATACCTCAGCACTTTTGTGGTTGACCTATCAGTGTTTCAATTTTGAAGTTTTTGTTTTCTCTTTTGTACGAAAAGGAAGATATCGGTAGAAGATCTGGTGTGCAAAGTCTGGTTTGATATGACATTTGACATAGGATACCGGTTTTTGTGAACATATCACTAGAGCGGTCTGCAGGTGATTGCCCGGAAATCGCGACGTCATAAAAAGGCAACACTTAACGTCCGGGCTCTATGTATTGCACTAATAATGCAACAGTGATACGTTTATAATTTCTGCACACTATTTTGTTGAATTCTTTCATTTTGTTTTCTATGCTTTAGGCCTATGTGAAGTGCCATCTCCATAATCAAAAGCTCTCCTTACGTTTTCTTTGACCTAAGTCTTCTTCCGATTTATTCGCACTCTTATCTTTTTCTCGTTATTGGAAAGCCAATCGTCTTCTCTATAAATATTCCCAACAGCGGTACCTTTTCAAAACCGGCCAGTGATCTGAGCCAATCCAAATTACGATGGCTTTGGAATCTCATTTCTTGGGCTTCGCAACTTTCTCACCTTCCTGGAAAATAAAAGAATACTGCGCGAAATCCGCGATGTGCCTGTTTGAAATTTTGGGACGACAGCGGCAGTGCTTAGTCCAGTCTTTTGATTTACTATGAATTTGGGCTACATAGCTGTACCCTTTACTGGGAGAATGACATGTTTAAAGTTTTGTTTGATTAATCAACTATCACGACGTTGGTAAACAACTTTTCTTCGGCTAACATAACGGTGCCTTCGTCTTCTCCGGAGCAGGAATGATTTGAGTCGATTGTCCTCAGTCGTTCATTCTTGCGATATGGGGTCGCAACGAGTTGAGTAGATCACCGATTTGTGTACAGTAGATTCGAGTCATTCTGAGGAAGGCGGACACGCCGGAACGTCGGCAGAATATACTTTTTTGTTTATAACAACCTCGTATCAGCTGGTCAGTTAAAAAATAAATGAATTATTTAAATCGAGGTTAAGTAAAGGTCAGTCTACAAGACTATTGCTTTGCAATGTGTCTTGTTCAAAGTCGATAGACGAGGTTCTGGAATTTTGAGTTACCGTGAGTGCTCCTAGTCATGGCAATAAGTTCAGGCATCCTCTTGTCTTGTTTGCTCAGTTCCATTCCTGGGATTCCTGATATAAAATTTTTTAGAGGTGTTTCCTGGGCCTATCTTGCTGTTAAAGCTCATTGAAAGTATGCTGTTCTCCGTAGAACATCTCCAGCGTATAGAATTCTCCGACGTCGTATTCATCGCAACTTGATCGCAACTTCGTGTTACATTTCGAATAGTAAATGTCCGATGGGTGATTGTTCAAAAGAATCGATATTCATGGGCAAACATGTTGACAAAAGTATCAGCGCCACTGCTTCCATAACATCGCATCTTCTGAAGGCAGCTCCCCCCATCACAAGTGGTGGCGGTCCGATGACGTTATACTTCGTCTTCCCAGCTAGCCAGGTCTGAATGGAAGCCTCCTGTATTACTGCACCGCGTGTACGTAGTAAGATGATCGACACTTTAGTCCTAAAATTAGGCATACGAGAAATGTTTCGAGATCCTAGCAACCCGTCAGCTTGTCCTATCCAACATTACCGTATCGAGAGCTTTTTTGAATTACCAATCACTTTGTTTCCACTTCATTTTTTACTTCCAGAGGTAACTTACTGCTCTTTCCATGACTAGACGAGGAGACTATTCGTGGGGTGATTCTTAATCACCTTTTATGTGTTTCCCAGCTATTCGATTGCTTGCTTTAATGTTGGAATATGTCTACGTACACTCGAAGTGTTTGTTAAACCAGCGCGAGAAAAAGAGGTAGTCTGTGGTTCGTGGTGGCCTACCGATGTAATGTGCCAGGGCTACTATCCTACAACACAATGGAGCTCGAGGTCGAACCAAAGACCACGTGTATATTGCAGGACACCTCTAACCACTACGCTACGCGCGCCCCTGTCCAAGTGCTTGATAATCCTGAAAAATGAAAAGGTAGGCTAAAACCAGCTGTATAAAAAACGACCCGCTGTTCGAAATTCGTGAACTGGAGTCAATTTTATGCCCGGTTAACATACCATAAAGCGTGAGCGACTTGGTATTTTAAAGCACCCTGTATTATTTGCATTTTGGAAGTTTTCTGATGAAAATATACATCTTGCTGATTTATTCAATAGAAGAGGCGTGAACTACACACATGAGGGTCAAGTTTGATAATATGCGGTTTCAGATGGGTCGTGAAAAAGACGTTTCGACACGCCTCATTCGACCAACCATTCCAGAATTTGACACTGCCCGACTACTTCTCTTTGTTGAACGATGGAATCCGAGCTGGGAGCACGACGCTTCTATCAAAGTGAGTCTCACAACACAACACTAATTTTTTATCGTTTTTTTCTGATTTGTTTGTTTAACGTGTCGTCACGTTTAATGAAGAATCCAGCCTTTTTTCATCCGGTTCATCGTGCATCCGTCTTGCACGAGCGTCTTTGGATTTGTGTCTACCTTGAGCTTTTATTTAAGGTTCTTGCTTCATGGTTAGTGCTGTTAAACGCTGTTCAAGATGATCCTTCGTGGAATCTTGGAATTCCGCATCGTCACATTTTGTGAAGATTGCAGAGGCTTTTCTTTCATTCGGTTTGTCATGCATCCGTCTTCCACGAGCGTTTTTGGATTTGTATCTACTTTCGGCTTCAATTTGTTTTTGCTTCTCGGTTAGTGCTGGTGAAGTTGATCCTTCTTGGAATCTTGAAATTGCTGTGCTGGAACGTTCCCTCATTCCCATCGCAGGCAGTCGTCCATTTCATTTGGAAAGAGAGAGCCTTTACTTCACGAGTCTGGTATCAGTTTGCCGACCTGGAGGGTTCTGTGGACTGACCATTGCGGGCCAATGTGAACCATTGGGCATATTGTGTGTATTGCACGGCGTCTCTAATATTGTGATTCGATGGGCCTTCTGTTGAGTTATGCCAAACATTTTGCAATCTCATATGGAATGAAAGTTCTGCAAATTATCGTGTCCTTTTCATTTTCCTTAAAAAATTGTGGAATATGGGAATTCCACGGCTCTGAAGAATTATGCTTTCTATGTATTTGGCATAGCGAAGTTGGTAGGGAATACGAACTTCGAAACGAATCAAAGGATTCTTGATGGGTGTTCAGGAAATCTCCGGCTGTTTTTTCTCAAGAAAGCAAGTACATGAAAAATTTGTGGAGCTTTAATGCGATGGAAACTGATTTATAGGTGTTTAGGATGTCATTCTATATTGGTTCGTTCGATCTACCCATTGCTTAAGATTTTCGACGAAGGAATCGCGCAGTATATGCTCGTTGATATAGAGTCGCACTACAAGTACATGGCTGCGCTGATTCTCTCAAAGCCGAGCTTACGATGTCGGATTGTCGACCATGAACCCGAAGACTTCCTGGATTCTGAGGACAACATAATCACCTTGGTACGTTTTCCCGGACTAGTTTTTTCTGCGAGCTCGAAATTACGACTTTCAACTAACCTCGGATGTTACCAATTAAAACCACAACGATGCTGAGATATTCGCAAAACTTCGACCCAGGGCGAGATCGAACCACGATTACCCTTTCGAGGGGCTCGCTTATTATACGCTGCACCATTGAGGTTCTTGCTTTTAAAAGGGTTCGATTTGCCCGGGTTCCAAGTTTTGCGAATATCTCAGCATCGTTGTGATTGTATTTCACATCATACTGTACCGTGAAGAATTATAGTAGGCAGCAAATAAAAAGTTAACATTAACAATTAAGTTGTTCAATTCCTACGACCTGTGCTTGTTGAGCTGACGAGAGATTACTAACACGTGTCCTTCGTTCTGTAATGAGAAGTGGAAACAGCTTTGAAGAAGGCGAAATCTCCGAAATGAGCTATCGGATTCCCAAGAAACATGTTAACAAAGTAGCGTCGGCTCAGCAAGGATAATTTTTAAGAATTAAATAGCTCGTTTTTTAAAATTACATCACCCGTCATCCCATCTACCTTGTGGATCCTAGCAATTCTTGCATTTGATTCGTTTTCACCGAATTCGTCATCTAAAAAGGTCTTCGAATATTTCGCATGTTGTTTCTGCTGCTGTTTAAGGATTTCATCTTTTTCATGAGATAGCCGGCCTAAAGCGTTACCATGTGGATTGGAGCAGAGCGCTGAAGGGAGTCAAACTAGCATAACCCTGCTGATTACAAGTACGAGTTTTCTTTGTGGCTGCATAGATATGTTATTTCATAAAACCGGCTTTCAAGGAGTTTTTTTTCGTTTTGGAAGGCAGGGTAATGCATTCGTCGCGGATTTTTCCTGATGTGGTGATGGATCCACGAGCTAGATAGTCACAAGGACTGCAAGGGTTACAAGGCTACGTGGCGCGTCCACATGTCGCGAAGAGGAGTTAAACATGGACGAAAAGCGACCTTGTGCTTCATTTAAAACGTGCTTGGATCCAGTGGGTGGTGTCCTCATTTTCTTTTACTCTGCCAGTTTAACACAATTTTACACGTGGGCGTATTCATGGATACATTTTTGATCGTTTGTGTGTATCCCATATCAGTTGTCTCAAATAATCAAAGTCGCTATCTTATCTGGAAGACTTATCGCTGGGTCTCTACTAGATAAAAATATTAAAATAAAGGGTGCCGAGCGAGAAGTACGATGATCTTCATAATTCTGGAGAAACCACTACACATTGGATTGACGTTGCAAAGGATAAGTTCAAATTATGATTTTGTTGGAGCCCTGTCGAATCATTCAATAATGAAAAGAAGAGAGGTGATACAGATAATTGTAATTAGTATTGCTATTAATCAGGGATACAGGATATCAGACAGGAAACGGTGAACGGAATCTGATACACCCATGCTCACCTAGCGAAGACAATCCTCCAAGCTAATCTTTCTGGCACTCGAAAAGGAGATTTCAGTAAAAGTTCTTGTAATGGATAATAGGATACAAAAGACGCTAAAGCCAGTAGTGAAATCTGGAGTTGTATGGAGTTGTAGAAGAAATGTGTCTGTCTTGGAATGAATTTTTCATCCATATTCAGTATAGAGCGTTGCTCGAGAGTTCAATGAACTCTAGACTAAGAAATGAACGTTTTGCATTGTCCTAGGTTTTTCAGTGCCAAAGAGTGCATGCAACATAATTTTAGGATATGGTTGACCTAGTGCACTGAAAATTTGCAAAGTTTGCGTATATATATATAAATATATATAATATGTAAAATACATTAAATATTTCACAATGTGCGGATCCCGCCACTTATTGCATTCGATCTGTTTCCTCACATCCACCATCTGCGAAGGTCTTCGGGATTTTTTTTTGCGTATTGTTGCTTCGGCTGCTGTTTTACGATTCTTCCGTCATCGTCACGAATGTCACTGAATGTTGGCCGTGTCGATCCTCCCAGTGGATTCGAGGAAACGAAGCGTGTGCAAAGAGTAGTGGGATCCGCGCGATGTGATAAGGGTGATGTCGGGTAATGTAGTAAAATTATAAAAAACAAAGTGTACATGGACAAAAATAGAGTGGAAAAGAAGAGAAGAGATGTAAAAACCTGTTGGTGTAATCGTGCAGAGGACTTTTCAGACTAATTTGGAGAATCTCTCCATCGATGACATTAAGAAAATCGAACACATGAAAGAGGTCCTTCATAGGAGAGGTTATCGCTTCCACTAGTAGCACTCTGGCTTCTAACTGAGCTATTGTTCGTAGTAATCTGCTGCTTCTTATCTGAAACTGGTGTCATGTTTCTTTTGGCGACTACATAGTTCGTGCATTTCTGGTTGATTCATCTTCCATTAGCAAGATAACAGTATAACGTCCCGGTCAGTCTATTCAGTTGTTCATCTTCCTCCATCATATCATATGTTATTTCTCTTTCTATCCTGCTAAAAGATGTTCATTCCTAAGTGTATTGGCTTGTGTGTACCTTGCGTTTTGGTGTAGTCGAGTAGATTCTGCTCTGGTGAGCAAGTACGGTAGAATTAGCGTGTTATGATGAATCACCTGAATATTATGATTTTATAAGTTAAGACTTATGTATTTAAATTTAACATTGGATCGTATAACTATGTATGCGTCTAATAAATCCGTTTCTACAGTAGTCTACAATCGTTCAAAAACAAAGAATCTTGATGAGGATCACTATTGTTTGAAAAGCAGTGGGTAACTACAAACAACCTTCATGTAGATGGTCAGAAATAACTTAAAACACTGATTTTCATAAACCACGGAATAATTAATCAATATAAAAAGGATAAAGCTCTCAGCGTTGACCAATCCCTGAAGGATACGCCATGCATTCGACTTCATTGGGTATCGTTGAAGGAGAGTGAATGCATATCTGGCCTTTACAATTACTAGCGCTGGCCTACCTCCCAGACAAGTCTGGTACTAATTTGACGATCCCGGATGGATGGAAAGTTGGTGGGCCATGGGCGCAGAGATCGATTCTACGTGTGTCGCAGTTGCGGCTCCAACCACTGCGCCACACGCGCCCTTATATATCAATCAATATACTAGATACTTGATACTTGAACGTCCTTTCCTCACTGGTTGTGCGGGCCCCAGCACAATCTCCACTTTTCGGAGATTTGCTGGTTAAACCATTGTGGTTCCCTGGAATCTCGAGGTCAGCCTGGCCAAGGTCTGCCCCAGACCAATCAATATAATAATAGTATAATCTATATATATATATATATATATATATGTATATGCTCTTACGAACCGCCCTCGTTGAAGCTGATGCTGGGCTGATATGAGTTGTCGTTGTTGTTGTTGTTGTTCGATGACTGACGTTCCGGCGGTATCGCCTTCTTCAGAGCCTGGACTATTTTATTCAACGATAGCCTATTCGGTGAAAAAATCTACAGTATTCATGAAGACCTAACATGTAGATGAACGCCATGTTGAACAAAAAATTGCTCACCGTGCTGTCACGAGTGGGACAGCTGGCATGTTGTTCACGTGAGATGACGAGCAAGACCCACCCAGTTCAGAAAATTATTTTGAAGTAGGCGCTAGGTCACGTGTGATCATGAGGCGTTCGCCTTTCTGGTTCATCTTTGGATTTTTAAAATTTATCCAAAACGTCTTAAGAGTCCTGCGCGTTGTCGTTTTTGATTCCTGCGTCAAGAACCGGACAGTCGCTTCAAAATCATCACCATTATGCTTTTGTACCCTGTGTGCACCTAGAGGGGTACTTTGTCGAATTTTACCTTTCCCACGAAGATGTTCTTTTACGGGGGCATAAAGTGGTCTACCCTTTCACCCTTCGCCGCATACCTTGCATGAGATCAAGTATATTGTACCTGAACTTATGCAATCCTCGTCTCTCATTACGCAATTTTCTGAGCTGCACAAACGAACATAGACGTGGTTGCCAACTTACTCAACGCGTAGGATATTGTGTGATAGGTCAATGACTGCCACGTAACTTTCAAGACCACTTCTTCTTAGGCACCTCGTAATGGCGTAACTTACTTGGTTTGATGTGAAGGCTCGATTGAAACGGATCTTGCTTAGGTTTAAAACATTATTGTGGGGAATAGCCCTAACCCTACCTTTTGATCTTACCCGAATGGCTACTACTTCGTAGCCATTGGACAATATATATATATATATATGTATATACGTATATATATATATATATATATACATATATATAATGTCCAGTGACTACGAGCCTACATATATTTTTATAACAAAAGAATGTATATGAAACTCACCTAAAATTTTAAGTTTGTTTGTAATTAAAACTCTTGAAAAATTAGCAGACAAATTCTTTTTGAGATTTTAACGACGAGCATGGTAGCCCCGAACACCAACGATACACTGAGGAACGTCGTCGTGCCCTCACTGTTGATTTCCCTTCGTATTCATAAGAAAATGGATCTCGTGGAGTCCACAAAATCAAGCTTTCATCGTGAGAGAACAAATGAACGTATGCCCTGTGGACAAAGATCTACACTCTAATGGATTTTATGATACTCAATTAGAAATGAGATATCCTAGTTCGAAGTTGGAAGTGACCCTCATTTTTGCATCGTATGACTCATACGAGTCAGCCAGTAGCGTATGGCTGTCAGTTCTCGTTTCGTTCTCCTTTCTATATCTATCGATAATGCTCACTATCAAGTCCTAAATACCAATTATATTTAACAATAAATGAGTAGGTCCAATGCGTCCAAGCATAAGCTCCTAATTCGCTCCGAAACAGCTGTCCTCAAAGAGATCATGAAGTCCTACGTACTAGCCGCTGATGCCGTCATCAGTACCTTCACCCCATCAACTAAGTGCACCGTCATGCTATGTGACGGTCCCACTAGAGCTGCTCGAGTCTTAATGTTTTCGGTGTCCTCAACCTCAACTTCTTATTCACTGTTCATATATGTTCATATGTTCATCTTATTCACATAAGATGTTTATCGAAGGTGAAATCAAGATAACAGTCTCTTCCACAGGCATTTCATGTCCTTAACTCCACAACTACTTTAGTTATCGGAAAATGAAGGCAAGTTATCGCAAAAACAG